TCCCCTCAGCAGTGTACTTCGTCGATCTGCCTGTTCTGCTCCCCACTCTGTCTCTGGTGAAGCCTCTCACCGCCCTTGAGCCTCTGGCCTGTACCCCAGTTCTGTATACACAAATAAATAAATCTTTAAAAAGAAAAAATAACTTTTGAAGGCTTTTAAAAACAAGATAAATTCAAAATACTAACCAATATTAACACAGACAATTGTACTATGTTAAAAGTGTGTGGGAATAACATGCTCTAAGGCCTTTATTTATAGATGAGCAGAGGATAGATTCTAAATTTTGATGTTTAAAATCCAGTTTGGTTAACCATTAACGAACATAAATGGAATGCATGACTTCAAAAACCAGAAGAAAAGTGACCAAACAAAAGCCCTATCAATCAAATAGAGGGGGAGAAAGTAACAAAGACAAGGCATGGAAAATGTTAAAAAATATATATAAGAATACAGTGAAAATAGGTTCAAACAGAACAGTAACCTCAACAAATGAAACAGACTAAAAGAGATCTTAGATGAAAATTAGAACCAAGGACTTCCAATCTACTGTTTACAAGAAGCAATGAACAATAACAACACAGAAAGCTGAGGAAAAAGAAGCAAAAAAGAACAGAGTGAGCAAACTCTAATTTTAAAATGCTGGCACAGAAGAGTAACAAAACCACCTTTAAAGCAAAGTGCATTAAGGTGCTTTTGAAAGAAAACCACTGTTCAAGGAGATAGATCCAGGAAGATATAATGCACATACCTAACCCATCTGAAAGTAAACAAAACAAAAAGGGTAGAAAAGGTATAGGATTTTTACACAGCTCTCAGAAACCATTAAACAAAAAAAAGCAGTATTAAATAACATGAACTAAGTAAGGTACATGTAGTAAACTAAGTAGGCAGTGACTACTAATGGGTACCCAGTTTCTTTGGGGGAAGAGGGATGAAACTGTTGCAAATCATATTGTGGTCATGGTTGTATAACCCTGTCAATTTTTTTTTTAAAGATTTATTTATTTATTCATATAGAACTGGGGTACAGGCCAGAGATGTGGAGGGTGAGAGGCTTCACCAGAGACAGAGAGGGGAGCAGAACAGGCAGATCGAGGAAGTACACTCCTGAGGGGAGCAGCGGGCGTAACCCTGTCAATTTAAAATGTCACTGAATTGTACATGTTAAATGGGTCAATTGCATAATATATAAATTATATCTCAAATAAGCTGTTTAAAAGAATTGAACAAATTTTACTAAAAACTGTAGGGTTGAGGAGTCTACAAATACCCAACATAGAACCATACAGGGAAATCTATAGAGCATATGCAAAAACTGCCTGTGTTACTATTCCTCAACAAAAGCTTCAACAGGGGCCTCTGAAAGTGCACTACTACACCCTGAGCTTGATTCCTGCTCAGGGACCAATCGTGTTTCACCTGCTGCTCCCCTTAGCAGTGTATTTCAGATCTGCCTGTTCTGCTCCTTACTCTGTCTCTGGGGAATCCTCTTACTCCCAACCATACAACCTCTAGGCTATACCCCAGTTCTACTATGCAAAAAAAAAATGTTTGCCAGAATCTCATCTACTACATGAGTATCTTTTTTAAAAGCTGGCCTCCCAAACACTACACAACATACACTTCAGCGACTTCATCTTTAAAGATAGAGAACCCAATGCAACGATAGTGAAGGCAAGGATAAACAGATGGGACTACTTCAAGTTAAAGAGCTTCTGCACAGCAAAACAAACATTACAAAAAGACAAACAGACATCCCACTGACATGGAAAAAGGCACAAAATGATGTAAAAATAAACTATTATACATAAAAAAAAAAAGTTGGTCTCCTTGGTGGTGCAAGGGGTTAAAGTGCAGCACTATGAAGCTATCCACAGTCACTACAGCATGAATTCAATCCCCAGACAGGGAGGTGACCTACATGGCTCAGCAGACATCTCCAGTATTGCCCGCTGCTCCCCTCAGCAGTGTATTTCAGTTGATTTGTCTGCTATGTTTTCCACTCTGTTTCTGGTGAATCCTCTCAGCCCCCCACACCTCAGCCCCCTACACCCCAGTTCTTGTATGCACAGATAATTTTTTTTAAAAAGCCAGAGTAAAAGAAATATCAAACTATAAGTATTTCCTAACTCCATGAAATAAATTAGAAACCAGTAATAAAAAGAACAAAAACAAATATTCTGATTTAACAGATGCCTTTTAAATAATTTGAGTGAAGAAAAATAACACTGAAAGTTACAGTATCTGGAACTAAATTATAATAAAAGTAATGTATAGTGAAACATGCAGGTTACAGCTGAAGTTATACTTTAAGAGAAACTGTAGCCTTGAATACAAATATTAGTAAATAAGAAAAACCTATTATTCACCTCAAAGAATAATACTAGAACAAGACAAACCAAAGAAAGTAACAAACAGCAGAAATTAATGACATGGAATCTATCCTAAAGCAATTATCAGACAAGAGAAAAGTTAGATGAGCTTTATGTGCAAGGAATGCCACGAGGGTTATTTACAATCCTAAAACATTAGAAACACAAGCATCTAACTATAGTGGAGTGATTATATAAGTTACATGTCATAGGGTAAATGACATATAGCCAATAAAATCCATGTGTTCCATGGGGTAAACACCCACTATAATGGTAAGAGAGTAAAAACAAGACAAAGAGCATTTAGAGTGCAAAATCATTTTTAGAAGAAAATAATGTGTTAGGAAAAAAGGCTGGGAGTAAAACTGTTGAGAATGGCTTAATTTTCCTCTTTGCTCCCTGTAGTGTTCGAGTCATAAACAGAAAGAAAACAAAACTGATTTCTTAAACAAAATAATGCAACGAAAACAAAATATGTATCCATATCCTCCTCAGCCATTAGCAAGAACTTGGCAGGAGGCTGAATCATAGCTGAATCAGCTAGGGACTTCCAGCTCGAGTTCTCCTGATCATTCCCCAGACTGTAGTTTTAGCCAGGGGAATCTTTGGGTTGTGAAGAGAAGCCTCCTGCATCTTGCCCCATACTCTGCATACTACCCCTGGTTTCTAGGGAAAGTCAACATCAGCACCCTCATGCTTACCTGCTTCAGTTACCGTTTTAAACCAATCCAGCAGCTTCTCCAAACAGGTGTCATCTGCCACTGGCTGTCTGGGGTCAGCCAGGAGGGCACAGAGAGCTGGGAGTAACCTGGAGCACTCTGGATCCATGATGAAGCCAAGGGACCCTGCAAAGAAAATGTCAAAACCATACCACAATGGGGTCCTAGAAGCAGGGTGTCCCATGCCCACTCAGGCACTGAATGTTCATCTCAGGCCAGAGGTGAAGACCCTGATCCTCAGAGGGAAGTTCCCAAACGCGTAAGTGAACGCAAAGCCACAGCCTGAGAGGAGCTGTGAGTCCAGGCCCTTGGGCTGGAAGAGTTTGGTGTAAACCAGAAGACCAGAAGAGCTCAAAGTCTGCTATTTTTGGACACTGGCAGCGAGAAACAGTATGAAGCTCACCTAGGATACCAGGTGGGCTATGGTGTGGAGGAGGGAGGAGGGAGTGTGCGCGTCCTGGGATCAGTCACTTATACAGGGACGGGAGTCTCATTCACCGGAAGTCTCTGCCCTTCCCCAGGACAGTCTGTGCCAGCAGGCATTTTGTCCAGTGCCAGTCCCTCCTCGTCCTGGGTGTGCACCTGCGTCTGGGGCCCAGAACATAGTGCCCTATAGTCAGGGTGAGCTCGTAGGCGGAAGGGTAAGGGTAGCCGGTGACTTTATCAGGAGTAGGTCGGCCCCCTGGGCTTGGGCTGACTGTGCCAGCCGACTGACCGTCAGTCCAACCCGGGCGAGGCTAGGACCCCGTGGAAGGAGCGCTCCCTGCGGTTTCCCGTCAGTTGGCTCTGTGCGCTCCGGTTACCAGAAGGTCCAGAGGGTTGCACGCCGCACCTCAGTTGCTCCCCTGCCCGCCGGCCCCTCACCCCACGCCCCGATTCCGCAGGACCTATGACCGCGACTCCCACTCAGGGCGCGCGCCACACTCGCGGCGTTCCGTCAGCTGCAGCGGCCCTAACCCGGCCGCCTCAAGTCCCGCCCCGGACCGCGCCACTTGCTGGGTCTTCAGGGAACCGAAGACGACACGGTGGGGGCGGGGTACAGTGAAAGCGGCCCTGGAGGTCACCGAGAACTTAGAGGTCGCAGACACTGAGAATGAGCTCAAACCGAGAGAGGCTGGAGACAGGCAGGGGCTAAACCGGCCGCCACAGACCACCACCCCGTTACCTCAGTGGTACCTGCCCAGGCGTCTGGGAGCCGGGCGTCCGGGAGGCGGGGCTTCTGGAGGAAGGGGTGGGGACCATTCCGGAAGGGGCGTGGCTTCTCCGGGCAAAGGAGGGAAGAGTTGAGATGGCTGCACGTGCCAGCAAAACCCGGGGCTCGCGGGAACTCTCCGCTGTGGGCAGGAGATCCCGGGTTTTTTCAAGATTTTAAGGGACAAACGAGGAAGTAGTGGATTTCCCTTGGGTATTAAGATGTTCCAGAAACGTAAAAAACAGTGATTTTTATGGGGAAACCACTGCACAACCACTGCTCTGATTCTCAACCTCTAGCATCGAAATCCTCAAATAACTAAGCAATAGTTTCGAGTAACCTTAGATCAGCACCAAACAGAAGTTTCTAAGTATTCTATACCGTAAAATGTCCTTCTCCCTATATGTCAAGGTACCTTAAGTACCCACTGAATTCCTGAAACCTGAAGAAGCAGGGAAGTCTTGATCTTCTAGCCTCTGGAACATAGACAGGAAGGACCTCAGGACCTATGGTACCCACGCTTTCAGTGTGGTGCGAATTCCCACCTCTTGATGGCATTCACCCTCTATTTTCTCATGTATGCAGACACGTGATCTACACTGTGCTTATAACATCATATATATAGGAATGGGATGCAGCCAACCCTCTTTCCTGGCACTGCCACAATGTTACATAAATTGAAACTACTGTTTAGAGGGTCTCTATTTAAGGAGATTTGTCTGGAGATCTGATTATTGCTCTATTGCTTTTCAATAAAACTTTCCTTTAACCAGCACTAAATTCATTCTAATCTTAGCTTCGAGGTACTCAAGGGCCCTGGCTTCTTTTGGGGAACAGGGAGTCAATTTGTCTTGGTGCCTTTGGACATTTGGCCTGGACCAGCTCCCAACCAGAGACCTGGGTGAAATACTCCTTTTGATCACAGTAACATCTGTGTTTTATAAATAGTGCTGCTGTCAGCTCAGTGGAGAGAATGGAGTTTTCTTTTCTCTTCTCATGCATCAGAGAAGTCCAAATTAGGAACCAGAACATAGGGGAAATCCTCTACCCAAAACCATTCAGGAAGCAGGGCAGAGAAGAAAGTAGATCATTTAAAAAAAAAAAGATTTATTTTATTTATGCATACAAGAACTGGGATACAGGCCAGAGGTGTGTGTTGGGGGTGTGAGAGGATTCACCAGAGAAAGTGGGGAGCAGAACAGACAGATCAACTGAAATGCACTGCTGAAGGGAGCAGCACACGAGACAGGAGAGGTCTGCTGCACCACGTGGGTAGCTCCCTGCTGGGTATTGAGCTTGTGCTACAGTGGCTGCAGACAGTTTCATAGTGCTGATACTTAACCCCTTGAACCACCATGAAGGCCCTGAAGTAGGTCATTTTAGAATAAATACAATTTCACTATTTCAAATACCATTGGAGTAATCGAAGTAGCCACAAAGCACTTCTGTTTCTTGAAGTGTTACCAAGTACCAGGCACTGTAGTAAATTTGATTTCTGTTATTTCTTTTGATGCTAACAAAGGCCCTAAAACTGTCTTCATTCTGTATCAAGGAGACAGGTTGAACACTACCAGGCTTAGTCTTTTTTGCTTGTAGAGAGACCACCTCTAACCATGGTATGGGTCACTCACTCTGTTGTACAGATGAGAAACTAAGGAAAAGAGGTTTTGTGGACCTATAGAAGGTGGTGGTGCCAGAACTAGAACACACATCACTTCCCCAGCATTCCTTCTGCTCCACTAGGCTCCCCAGTGTGGGCATCTGTTTGTGCCTAACCACACAGTAATAACACTGTCACGCTGCATCTGCTTTGGAACAAGGCCACCGTTTCACACAAATTTACAGATACTGACTCATTTGGTCCTCACAGCAACCCTTTTCTCTATTTGATATGATCCTGAGGAAACAGAGAAGCTACTAACTCTAGCATATCACATACCCATTGACTGAGCATCTGGCATGTGCAGACCCTCTCCAAGGCAGCACTGTGAACACAGTAGAGCCCTACCCCAGAGGCTTAGGTTCTGGATATGAAGTATTCTTGTAACTAATACATGCCAGAGAGCTGGAAAAACAAAGCCAGGCAAGATGCTGATGGAAACCTGTATGAAGAGAAAGAGCAAATAATACTTACCAAGAATACGGTCATGCATGACTCAATGTTCCTATCAGGTGGTCCCAACAAATTATACCTTATAGGCTAAGTGCATAGTAGGCTGTACCATCTAGATATGTGTAAGTACCCTTTGTGAGGAAATGAACTAATAAGGCATTTTCCAGAGTATTTTTCTGTCGTTAGCAACACATGGCTATAATTTAAATTGGTAGCTTCTATTTTTTGAGGTGCCCCCAAAGATCATCATGATATACACTGAGCACAGCACAGTCTCTCATTTGTCTCTTGCCCTATAGCTACAGGAGAACCCCGGTGAAGGAGATGGAGGTCAAGGAAGAAATTTTTCTGAATATTAGGAGTCTAGGACATCGCAGAAGCCCTAGACCATTTCAAGTATTTATTAATTTCTGCTCTAGAGCGCACGCCTAGAGCATGCGTAGTATCCACGAGGAAAAAATCAAACAAGCAAGCCGAGCTCCGCGCACTGGGAAGCTCCGCGCACTGGGAAGCTCCGCGCACTGGGAAGGAAGCAGGTTTCCAATCCGGCCTTGATGCTGGAGTCACAGCTCCAGGCGCACTGCCTGCAGGCCCAGCGGTGTCTCGACGCACGCGCGCTCCGTCGTCCAGAAAGCCCGGCGCGGCTACATCCGGGGCTCGGCGCGCCGCTGCGTGGTTGCCATGGCAGCAGGGTCGCGGCCCGGCGCGCGGGAGGGCCAGAGGCTGCGGACCGCTGAGAGCTAGTGGAGCCCCAAAGCCGGACCTGCGCGCCGGTAATTGCGAGGAGCGGCCGGGCTCCGCCGCCGCCATGTCGCTAGACACCGGGGAGCGGGCCTCGGAGACGGTAAGTGGAGCAGGAGGGAGCGGGGGGCGGGCCTCCTTTCCCTGCCCGTTGCCAGACGCTGCGGGGCCCGGCGCGGGCCGGAGGAAGGAGGCGCACGGCCGGCGGCCGCGGGTGACAGCTGCCATTATTGTTACCGCATAAGAGCGGACCTCCGGTCCCCACCCGCGTGCAGCTGGCGGGGCCTCTGCGCCCCTCGCCCAGTCTCTAGCAGCTTCTGGATCCCGCCTACCCTTGCACAGACCCCCATTCCAGGAAGGCTTCCCGGACTCCGAGTACTTGTTGCCCGGCGCCTGCGGGGCTGGGCTAGCGCGGCCGCCAGGTGACGGAGCTCCCTGCGTAAGTGCCCCCCACGCTCTGCCTTCAGGGCTAGGGGCGTCCTCGAGCTCCGACTTATGGCAACCGGGGTGGAAAAGGTGCGGGGGTGGGGGGGTGCGGAGGGGTTGCTGGGACCATCCCTGGGGGGTGAGTGGAAACCCTGGGCTCTGAGAGCAGGCCTTGCCGAGCGCTGATGGGAGAGGATGTGCTGCCTATGTTTCCTCCCTAGAGTGAGGGCAAGTGTGCCTCTTTACCTAGTCGTTTTGGAGAGCCCCTCTTTGCTGGAGATAATAGCGTGAATAAACTGCATTTCCAGAGGGGCAGGACAAGCAATACACAGATCATTAAGATCTAAAAGTGAACTATCCTGTGCGAAAAATAAAACATACCACATGAGAGAGATGGGTTGTGGAGGGCTGCTTTGGGTTGGATGCCAGGAACAATCATCCTGAGGAGGCTGCTTTGGGTTGGATGCAGGAACAACCATCCTGAGGAGTTCACACTGGGAAGGAGGAGGCAGTCTGGCTCAAATCTAAGAGCAGAGGGACACCTAGTACTGAGGTGCTGGTGTGGACATTTCTGTGCTGTTGAAGCTCACTGGGATTCCTATGGATTGGGCGGGCATGGAAGGCAGGTGGGCATGGGCCTGAGTGGGAGTGGAAGAGTGGCCATGGTCCTGATTCTGGAGAAACTTGAATGCCCTGCAGAGAGATTGAATTTTATTCAGGGAATGGTGGATAGGGTTTGGAGGGTGACCACAGAGAGAACTTCCTGCTCGCTCACAGACCCGTGGAGACCTCTGCACAGACTGTGGGCTCTACAGAGCTCACCTGCAGTAGGAGCTCAGTGCTGATGGTGCCTTGGAGCACTGAAATGTCCTACTTGTCCCTGAAGGCACCAAGTCCCTCCCCTGAAAGCCAGCTTTGGGGCTCCACTACACTGGCCTTTGTTACTGCTCCTGTAACTTTCAAGAGTAACTTCATATACTGTGATTATAAAAATAGTTCATCCATTAGAGAACATTTAGAACATTAGTTACCCAAAATCTAGCCACAAGCAGAAGCCCACAATTAGTGTTTGGTGTCTTCCAGTCTTTTTCAAAGCATCTTTTTTCCTTGTCCTTTGTTTTTTGGTTGAGATCTTTACATTGTTTTGTAATTTATACAGTTTTGTTTGCTGTTACCATTTCATTTGTCCACGCATTCTTAAGGTGTTTTAAAACCTTGAACGTGAAGGGAACACCCATATTTTATTTATCTGTTTCCCTGCTTTTATTATTTTTATTTATTACTCTCTGATATTAGAAATGATGCTGTTTATGTAAGCATCTGTTATATACCTTATATCTAGCAGGCTCCGAGGACCCCAAAAAAAGCCAAAGCCCTTGGTCCTTGGTCTCAAGTCTCAGTCTTTTGAAAGTGAATGCAGGCTTATTTGTGGCTTCCCTGCTGAGTTTGGATCTGTTTTAAGTGGGACCAGAACCTCTGGTCTGCCAGGCTCCCTGAGTCCCATGGACTGGAGCTGCCCCTGAACTTGCTCATGAACTTTACAGAGCATGTGCCAGGGAGCTCCTGTGCCACAAGTGGAAACAGGCCTCACTGATCACAGCTCAGAGCCAGAACCACCGTGGAACACAGCCACAGATTCCTTGTGCTTTGATGGGAGAATGAGTACCCAAACATTTAAACAATGTAAAAAGTGAAACACTTTGTGAAGAACTCTTTCTTTATCCAAAGTACACATGATTCTGTGTTGCTAGACTGACACATATGGATCTACTATCTGTGTTTGTATCTGGCGTCCCCCACCCCTCCCTTCTAAAGATGGCCAAGCAGACCCTGCTCTGGTGTCCTGAGTCCACTCCTCTAGTTTTCTCTTTAGCTGCTGTGGATGGGCCATTTTCACTTTCTAAGTGTGACTGTTGGAAGCCAAGCAGGTGCCTTAAAGTTTCCGTATTTTCATCTCTTCTTCTAGGGAGATGACAGTCTATCTGCAATTACCTTTGACTCTGACTTTGAGACGGTGAGTATGATGGGGAGCAGCAGCTTATCTGGCCTTCATACATGACCCTCATGTTTGCATAGCTGGCCAGTCCCCATACATGCTGCATTAGAGCTAGAATGCAAATTCCAAACAATACTCATACTAGAAATATTTCAAACCCTTAGTGGGATTTTAAAAACTGTGATCATTTAAAAACTGTATACTTGAGTAGGATATAGGCAGATTGCAAATTCTTATCTTGTATCGAGTATGGGCCTGTACTCCCCACACCCCCAACTCCCAATTCTGACACATAAGAGGATGGAGACATTGTCAAAAGTGACTTGGCAGCTGTGGCTCTGGGACCAAGCACTGTCTGGTCTGATGGCCTCATCCTTGGAAGAAACAGGTGGAAGACAGAGCTGCTGACTCTACTTGCAGTAAAAGAAGAACAGAGAAAGCTTCATGTGTCTCCTGACAGGGAATTCTCACCAAAGCCAATGCTCCAAGGGACTCTGGTACAGCACGTTTCAATTCCAATTCACTCTGTGGACTCAAGGGGGAGCATCATTGTCTGAGGTGAAGAACCTCAAAGAATCAAGAATGTTCCCTCAATACCACTAAGACCCTGGGCTTGAAGTGCTCTCCAGAGAATTAGGAAAACAAACCTACTGAGTAGACAACATAGTCATAGTATCATTGTTTCTGCTGGAAGTGAGAGTATCTCTGTCCATTATGAAACAGGTGACGGCGTGAGCTGGCTGTGTCCTGTTGGCGCTTTTCTGTTGGCTTCCCTCCTCAGTAGGATTTGCAAGTGACTTATTCACAGGGTTGCATCTTGGGGTACCTGTCCAGGTGGCACATGAGCATACCAGGTGTTCAGATCTATGCCTTTGAATGGTATCCACAGAGTGGGCTTAAATTCTCCATATCCTACATCTTTTGTGATCAGGTTGTTTGCACTAGGAGAGCCCGACAGCCCCAGTCCATCAAATGTGCTGCCCATCACGTGTTCAGGGGTGCCTCACGTGTGGCTAGGTTTGTTCCTGACGTTCCAGTGTCCTCTCTCATTGCTCTTACACCACTATAATCCTTCTGAACATGCCAGCGCTTCACGATTGGGACTGTTCTGGCTGCTCGAGAAGGTGCATCATGCTTCATTCACATGCTTTCTTCATTCTTTCAGAAAGCAAAAAGGAAAAGTTTCCACAAACCTCCTCCCACATCACCAAGTAAGTATGACCAGGCTCCAACTTTCCACAGTTTAACTCAGAAAATGGCTTTTAGAAATTGTCCTTTCCTGGTGTCCTAAGAGAAAGTTCTAGAATATTTTTGGATTGGAACAGTTAGGGCCATTGAGACGCAACACCTGTGCCAGTTGACTCCATTTGATGTTGGGATCTTGGGAGGTGGCCTCGCGTGGGCCTGTGCCCCTGAACTGTCACCTTTCTATCAAGCCTTCCTCAGGACACAGTGCCTCTTGGTCTTCTGTATCTTTAACCTCAGGGTTTGTTCCTTAAGACTGAACGCAGCTCATCTGTACTGAGAAAGTGTAGATACCCCAGGACCAGGTGGAAAGTTAGTTTTTCCCTTTTGTGGTGGTCTGAGCTGCTTTTGCTGGCAGGATTCTTCCATTCCCCATCCTCTGCAGGAGGAGGGTGCTGTCCAGGGAGGCCACTTTCTTGTCAGTGGTCAGGGAGGCAGTCGTCTGTTGGAGGATGTTGCGAGGATGGAACTTTCTCAGTCTGCACTGCTGTTCCAGAGACTGTGCTGCTTCTGAACAGCAGACATTCCTCATAGTTCCAGTGATTGAAAATCCAGGCTCAGGGCAGCATGGTTCTGTAGTCCCTCTTCTGGGTTACAGATGTTCACCTGCTCTCTTATGGTGAGGGAGGTGAAGGTGTTCTCTGTCGTCTTTTTATAAGAGCATTAATCTCATTATGAGGGCTGCTTCCCACCTCTTCATGCACTGGGAATTAGGCTTCAGCATATGAGCTGAGACGGGGCCTCAGACACTTAGTCCATGACAAATGGGGCTAGTCTAGCTGGACACCCAGGCCTGTCTCTGTAGGTCAAACATTGCTCCAGCAGACAGCGAATCATATGTTCATTTTCTGAATCAAGAAAAATGGTTTGATGACAAACTTTAAGTCCTGGACTGGCTTCCTTTTGCTGCCTAAAAACCTGTCATCTTCCTGAATTTATTGTGTTTATGTATATATATTTTAGCTACATATATTTTAAACATATTTTGTCACTTATAACACACACACAGGATATAAACAAGCTTTCACATTCGCCCAAGAAAAGCCTAGAGAAGTTTCTGCAAAGAAAGCATGTTACAGACTACAAATATACATAGATACTAGTTGAATTCTTCCAGCAAGATCTTTGGATCTTTGGTGATCTTCCATCAAATAATAGGCTGTCCTATTGGCAGCATGAGTGAAGAGAACTGAGAATCGGTGTAAAGTAAAAGTGTTTGTGTTTTAAAACTTATTTTAGGACCATTTTGTTGAAGTCCTTATTTGGCTAGAAGTTACCAGAGGTAAATATTAGACCAGCTTTCATTATTAGTGAAAGTCAAGCATTTCAAGTGAAAGTGTAATAATCAAATTACGTTTCTCTTGATTTCTGCAAAAGAATTGTGTTTCACATGACTTAGAATGGCCAGTAGCCCCAACGCATGACAGATGTGGGGGTATTGTAGCGCGTAGCTCCAAGTGCTCAGCCCTCACACCTCAGGTGTCACTCCTCAGAGACAGCCTGCCACTCTCTCTGCTATCAGACTTCCCGCCGCTTGTTCAGCACATGTGTTTCCACCTGAATGTGTCTGCTGTCCCTGTGTGCAGGGACCACACCTGTCCCATGCCTTAACATGTGCTTTTCTTTAATGCCAAGTCAAAGGTTCATAGGGTTTGTTACTTCTAAAGTATTCTGAGGCTTTTCATCCACACAGCTCCCTGGGGAATGTGTGACCGCTGTGATATTTCTTTTCCTCCAGCATTTATACTTTAAAGGCACAATCAGTCACCAGCAGGCTTCTCTTTTGTTCAAGTTTCCATCTTCACAGCTTTCATTGTCTGGAGACAATGAAACACACATTTAGGAGGGGAATGTTATTTGTGGGTTTTTTCTAATCACTAATTTACTTTTATAAATGAACACTTACAGAATATTGAGAGGCCTTCAAAATATCTTGGAATGTGGGTGGAAATGTATCAAGCAGGGTTTAATGTGTTTTTATTCTCTTATTCTAAGTTATGATAAAAGTTTTTCCATACATTTTAAAGCCATGTAATAAAGTTGGAAATTAGACCTTCCTGTGGCACCAAGGGTTAAGTCTCAGCACTATGAAACTATCTGCAGCACTAATTCACTCCCAGTCAGAAAGCTGACCCACATAGCACAGCAGACCTCTCCTGTTTTAGCTGCTGCTCCCCTCAGCAGTGTATTTCAATAAATCTGTCTGTTCTACTCCCCACTCTATCTCTGGTAAATTCTCTCACCACCATCCCCCCATACCTTCGGCCTACAACCCAGTTCTTGTATGCATAAATAAAATAAATGTAAAAAAGAAACTTGGTAATAAATTATTAGAAATATATTAGATTTTTATATTAGTTTTACACGTATTAAGTAATTTGCTATTCAAGGAATGTAACCTGTTTTTATCTTCTTTTATCATACTTTATATAATTAAAGAAATGAACTCTCAGATAAAAAACAATTTTAAAACATTTCCCATACTGTGGTAACAAAATCAAAAATGCCCTGGAAAGATATAACTTAAAAGCCTCTTGTAGATACTTAAATATTAAGATCCATATGTTATTACATCACTAGCAAGTTAGAAAAAATATTTAGTGTTAAATAGTATGTTCACTATGGCTATGTACAAATATATATCTACCTGAAAAATAGACAGCTAACTATTGTAACATTGGTGGGATTATAGTCATATTATAAAATAAAATTCCCGTTATGCTATTTCTTCATCATAAATTTTAAAGTCTGAATATAAGTATATATATATATATATATATATATATAAACCACATTTTAAACTTTTGTCAGAATGTTTTTATCTAGAGTCATTATGCCCTTGTGAATAGTATCTTTTATCATTTTTTTTTCTTTCTGAAGCACATATGTTTAGGGGCGTTGGTACTTTGCAGCTCTAAAACCACACATTTGGCTTTTTTAGAGTCGCCTTATTACACTAAGCCAAGAAAAGTGGCATCCTGGAGATCTCTGAGGACAGCAGCGACGATGCCTCTCAGTAATCGAATGTCCTTAACCCCACAGAAGCTGTGGCTGGGAAACTCAAAGCAAGGTATGTGGTTGCTCACTAGAGACCCTTCCTGCTCAAGAGAAGTGTTAGAAATTAAGGGTGGTGCTTTAAGCTAGAGTTTTGAGTATGACTTGTTTGAATGCCAACTTCCTAAAGATGCTGTATCTCACAGCATCATAGTATCTGAGTATAATTTCTGTAGGTTTGCATGTCTGGCACTTGCCCCTTGGGGGTCTTACGTTGTCTCAGTGCTGCTGGCAGTGGTGTGTTAGAACAAGCACCTACTAGCTTACAAGAGTCAGTTGTTTGATTTTTAGGAATTTTGTGAGATGGGCAATATGACACTGGTAGCTTAAAATAAGACTTGATGGGGATATTTATACCATCCCTGATCATTTGAAGTGGGCAAATGCTCCAAATCAGGACTATTAATTTCGAGAGCTGGTTGTTAAGCATTTCTCTGCACACCACTGATCACCACTATCTACCAATACTTGTTGACTTGAACTTTCTTCAGCCTGGGAAGGTTGATCATTAAAGGCAAAACTTCCCATTGTGTTTGCTTGTACCTGTCATTAAATCCATGTACATTCAAACCAGGAAGTCTGACCCAACCCCTGAAATCAGACCTCACCTTGGAGCATGCATGGACCAACCCCCCCAGCTGCACTCCTGACTATCTGACAGAAGCTTTAAGAATGAAGAGGTCAAATCTCAGGCGTTCCGCCAGCAATGGTGAGCATGTTAACGGTGACAAGCCCGTGAGAAGGAAAAGCTCGGGATTTTGAGTGTCCTTTGACAAAGTGAGATTTGGAGCTTCCTGTATTATCTCTGTCAGTAGGAGGTTATAGAGCGTCCTGAGAACAGTGGCCCCCTAAAAAGCTCATTCTGATCCCCTGGAAAGTTTAGACAGTGACATCTCGCAGGCTTCGGTCTTATTTAAATATATTGTATATAGATAATACTAGAAACAGAAAGGGACGTTGCAAATAATAAAAAGCTCCTATCTTAACAAAAAGAATGTTTGCTCTCTATTTTCGTGTCTGGTTTCCTACCTTCTACTGTTGACTCCACAGGGAGGGGTGAAACCTTTCTACCCCATGAGCTGACTGCCTCACTGCATATATGTTTGGGAGTTCTTCTTTCTACTTACATACTTACAATCCTTATATGTGAGACATCATGTTGAAACCAGAGTAGGTTTTGCTGCTTTGGATGGGTATTGTCATCTGCTCTGAACATTGTTTGCCTTTGGTTGTTTTGTTTGCTTCTTAAAATGTAAACATATCACTTCTCCCTTTTGACTGCCCTCCTTTAATCCTTTTATACTTAAGTTCTGGGTTCACATCCTTTAGTTTTGTTTTGCTTCATCTTTCTACACCACTGCTATTTTTGTTTCCTTACTTTTGGGGAAAAATATCTTCAGCAGCCTAAAAATGTGAAAATATTTTTGCTCTTCTTTATTCACCTTTTCTAAAGGGATAAGTTTATTAACATACAGGTTAAGGGATACCCAAGCGTTTTTTGTATTTTTCCAGTCTTCTAAGAATTGTGTATCTTCCTCTAGGTCATGTCCCTGGGACCCCAGTCTACAGAGAGAAAGAAGACATGTATGACGAGATCATTGAGTTGAAGAAGGTAGTGTTTCTGTCTGATCTTTCATGATGTTAACCAATGAGAGCATTCTATGACAATGCACTAACAAGTAATATCTGTGCTGTGAGGTCTCTGTATGGAAAGAACATGAGAACATGTGCTGAGAGTGACAGCTGGGAGTAGGTGACCTGGCTAAAGACAGGCCTTGCACCTGCTGTCTAAGAGGCTTCATAAGTTTAGAATCCTTCTGTTTTTCATCTCTTCATACTACTACGGAAGAAGTGGATTAACTTCAGGGAGTCCCTTTGTGTGCTGATTATGATAAGATTATTTGGTGTTATAATTATCAGTAGCCTCCCACTGCATAATTTTTTAGTGTCAGCAAGACTTTTCACTTTTCAACTGTGGCAGTTGATCTCTGCTGGAGCTCTGTGAGGTAGGCAGGGCCCGTTAGCAGCTGTTCATTGGTGAGGACCTTATGCTCAGAGAGGTCAGTAGTCTTTTCAAGGTTAACCAGTAACAGAACCATGATTTCCATCAAGATCAATGCCTTCCAAGGCCAAGCATCTTATTCTAACTCACACTATCTAACACCCCCAAAGGAACTTACACTGAAAGAAATTATCGTCGCCTTCACCATCATCACCATTATTATCGCACCAGTCTTTGATAACCCTGTGCTGCGGAAGAAGAGACCGGGGTTCATTCCTACCCTTAGTCTATAGACCTACTATCCTCAGTGCCACATGCTGGAGGGCTGTGACCAGTGGACACTAGACGGGGAGTGGGGAGCGGGCAGCCAGTGTGCCCAGAGCATGGTACCGAGTGGCAGCAGTCTCTCCCATGGCGTACTGGTGTAGCCACTGTGTGCCAGGCAGTCCAGAAAGGTTGGAGGTAGCATCCAAAGAACACTCATTCTCAGGAGCTGTTGACAGTAGAGAGTTCCCTGATGAATCGATACTTGCTTGTCCGTCGAGATTTTTAGCAAATGTTGGATATACTCTCTAATACCATCATCAGAGACTGTAGAGAATTCTTACTTTGTTTGGGTGACTGTCCTAAATGAACTCTGAGAGACACTGAAACTCTGAGTAATCACAGCATTACCACCACTGGAAACAATGTTCTTGGGGCTAAAAGTGGGTATCTGGGTAGAAATACACTGAATTTACTCAAACTTACCAATTGTGGGTCTCTAGGTAAAATCAGCTGAAGTCCTTAAATTCAGAGAGAATATTACTTTCAATACTCTGTTGCCCTGGCTCCTGAATGTCAGTTTTTCTGTGGCAAGTGACATCTCAGTTTCCTATTGAAAATGGGGATAATCAGAGCATGTTTCATAGGGCTATCAGGAGTCATTAAAAAAATCACCCACGACATGCTTTAGTACTGTGCCTGACAAACTAAAAGAGCAATACTTGTAGACCACTTGTAGAAATGGAATTGAAAATAATTACATACTCCCAAGAAACTGCAAGATAGTAGCAAGTGGTCCCTCCCATCCTGCCGGGGTTCCCCCAGGGTTGCATCTGCCATAGCTACAGCGACAGGCCAGAGCATTGACACTGGAGCAGTGTGCATGTGTGCGTGTGTGTTTCCCTCATTGTGTGTGTGCACGTGTGCACATGTGTGCATCGTTCTGAGTCCTGTTGTCTGTCTGTAGATTCGTGGGCCTTTTGCTGCAGTCACAACCTGAGCAGAGCTCCAAGCTCCATCACACAGACCTCTCTCCTGCTACCTTTTATAGCCACACCCCTCTCTCCCTTGCAATATCCCCAACCCCTAGGAACCACTGGTTTTTCCTTCCATCTCATCATTTTGACAGCTCGATATGCTGTGTAAATGGAATCATGGATATTTCTACTCACGGTAATGCTCTTAGGCCCATCCTGGTTGCTGAGTGCTTCATGGTTCTTTCCTCTCAAAGAACCCAGTTTAGCTCAAAGACACACTGTTTAGCTATGTCTTTCAAGTTTTGATATGTTGTATTTGTGTGTGTGTGTGTGGTATTATTTCCCTTAACACTCTGACCTATGGATTATTGCGATTGTGTTGTTCAGTTTCTTAAGTGCTTAAAGATTTTTCCTGTTTTCTTGGCTATTGACTTCCAGTTGGTTCGGTTGTGGCCAGAAAATACACTGTTAAATCTTGTTAATTTTCAGTTTGCTGAGGTTTTCTGTATCGCCCAGGATGTACTCTGTCTTCTGGGGGCATTTGGAAAATTTGCTGTTCTGTTGTAAATGTCAGTTAGAACCTGTTGGTTGATAGTGGAAAATTATTCTATGCCTTCACTGATCTTCTCCAACTATAATCATGGATTTTTCTATTTCTCCCTCTCAGTTTTATCAGTTTTTGCTTCACATATTTTATTGTTCAGTTGTTAGGCTTGCTGTTATCTTGATGGATTGACCCTTGTATAATGATGATTATGGCTGTCCTGTTTCTGTTCTCTGAAGATTGCTTTATCTGAAATTAATAATACCATTCTTGTTTTCTTTTGATTACTGTTTCAGTGGTATCTCTTTTTCCTTGCTTTTACTTTCAGCTACCTGTATCATTATATTAATGAGTTTCATATAGAGTATATAGCTCTTGTCTTTTAGTTGACTTTCTTAGGCCATTTACATTTATTGATGTGTTAGGATTTCAGTCTTCCTGCCGGGGTTCCCCCAGTGTTGCATCTGCCATGCACCTGCACTCCATGTGCACAGGTGTGTGTTGTCTGTCTGTCTGTCTGTCTGCATCCTCCTCCCCGCTGTACTCTCCAGCACCCTCACCCAGTGAGAATGCAGTGCCTTGACTCAGCCCAGCAGAGGATGAAAGACAGGGTCCCCACACAACCTTTGCTGACAGAGGGGGCCACTGTTTAGGTTTTTTGTCTGTTTGTTTTTTGAGGAGTGGGTGTTATCTGTACAATTTCTGCCTTGTGAGGATGCCCCTTTCCTGGCCCTTCAGCTGGAAAGAAGAGGCTTTTCTTGAGGCTTTCTTAAAGTCCGTGTGGTATGCATTGGCTTGGCCAGGTATTGGCCTTGGGCACCTGGGCCCAGGATACAGGAGGCAAAGAGAAAACTGAGAGCACCCTTGCATGTTGTTCCATGGATCCTGGCTAGTCTGCCTCCTCCTTCCCACCTTCCTGAGCCTTTTATGGTGGTTTTATTTATGATGGTAAAGGGGGTTTTAACCACATTTTATAGGAGGATTAAGAAAAAGTAAGTCTGTTACATATCCTGGAAGCAGAATTCCATTATTAGATTTCCCATCTTCCCCAGTGTCTGTACCCACTGATTTATTCATCAAACACTCGTCACGTGCCCATTCTCTCTCATGCCCTGCAGCAGCACTGGGAGTCTTGCCCACTGTGGCCATCTGACTGACGTGCCAGATCTCCCTTGGTGAGCCGTGCACTTTGGGTGTTCTTTCAGTGGTGGTGGTTGACTTTCTTCAGACAGTCAACCTCTCTTCGAGCACTAGGAGTTCTTTGTATTTCCACAGTAAGTGGCTAGATTGGCTGCAGATCGGATGCCGGGAGCAGTTAGCTATCACATAGCTGACCAGAGCTCATGAGCACGCTTGGCCTCATGCACTTGGGGCTCAGGATTTCACAGACCAGGAAAAAGCTTTTTCAAGTGAGGATATTGAAAACAAAAATAAAAAATAGCCTACTGTCATCGTTTCATAGACAGGCCATATAGGCCCATAGTAGTAGGAAGGAATGGGGTCGCATTCAAAAGACAGGACCATTACAGAAAGCAAACGGTGAGAAATTGTTTTGTGAGAAACTGACGACATAGTATTTTTCTCCTCAATTCACCCACCACATGTTGGTGCAAAATTGATCTTCAGATCAGCATTTGGGAACCATAACTCTAACAACAAGGCCTTGAGGATGGGAGTTTTAAGTGGGCATTAGCCTTTGAGGAGTGTTAGTGTTACATGGCGTGATAAAGACGGGCTGAGTCGTGTAGTCGTAGCGAGAGGGCACAGGTGGCATGGTGCCTGCCAGAGTTGCCGCACAGTGTTTGAAGAACAGGTCTCTTGCGGGAGGCCGCTGGTGTTTTGAGGGGAGAGTTTGAATTGCACGGGACTGTCCTGCACGTAGTAGCGTTTTGTTTCCCTAGTGCCCACCCACTACATGCCAGTAGCAGCCCTTGTCTCGACAGCCAGGTCCCTCTCATCCACCACACACAGCACCCTTATGGGGAACCAGGCAGCTTTGAAAATTCTTCTCCAGTTCAGCGTTTCACTGGATGTTTGTGTACACAGCTGTGTGTGCATGGGTCCGTGTGCATGGTCCTTTTTTCCTTCAGTCATTACACATGCAGAAAAGTGATGTGGATCTGATGAGAACAAAGCTCCGGCGGTTAGAAGAGGAAAATAACAGAAAGGATCGGCAGATAGAACAGCTGTTGGATCCATCCCGAGTAAGTCCTGGCCCTGTGGTGGTCCTGCCCTGACTGTGGAGTGGGAGCCACAGGAGTCCACTCCTCAGACTCACCGGGGACGGAGAAGCCACACGTCTTCATTTCTCAATCTGCTTACCACAGGGCCCGGATTTTGTTCGGACTCTGGCAGAGAAAAGGCCTGACACTGGCTGGGTGAGTATACTCTCCAGCAGGACAGAAACCTTCCCCCAAAGTCCTCCCGTGGCCACAGAGAAGAGCCTTTTCTCTAAAGCATTCTCATAGAGGAGTGCGAGAGATGGGACGAAGCTCAGAGCTTCCTGAACCCACTCTCCGCGGAACCACGGGGACTCTGCTGCGGGGCCTGGGGGCGGTGAGAGGAGGCTGAGCTTCTGTACCACAGTAAGGAAAAACAGTCACTGTGGAGAACGTCCCCTCATACGTAAAAGCCTTGTGCTGAACAAGTGATACTTAACACAGAGAAACAAAGCCAAAACACAGTCTCCTATGTTATGCAACGTGAACGAAACAAAGGATGGAAAATGGAGCTTTTATTTGATTAATGCTATGGCAGTAATCCTTAGGGTTCAGAGCAAAAGGAATCACAGTAAACCTCATGAGTCAAGGAAGGATTTTTTTTTTTTTTTTAAACGGGATGTGTGAAAAGAAAACTGAAAGGGAGGCAATTGAACGTAAAGAGTAAAATAATAATGGTGATGTGATAGAGGGTTTAATGAGAATCAGATTTATAATAAAAACCTATAGGCAATGATGGACTGGAACTGGGTCGGTGTGAAGGGGAGGAGAGAGGACAGTATTCATCAGAGCCACAGAACTGCCTGTCTAGAACAAAGAATCTGTCCAGATCGTTACAGAATAGCATCAGTTTGCTTGGAACAGACTCACAGAGCCCGGTTCTATGCTTGGACTACACCAGATAGCCGCCGGAGTGCTTGAGGAGGAATTAGTGCTTCCAGAATGAAACACTCTGGTGACAGCACTCCTGAGCATGGCCATTGGAACAGGGCACACACACGTGCATCGCTGCCTTTGATTTTTTTGTGATAGGGACTTCAATCCCCATTTTTAAAATCAGGAAACTGAGGCTAAAATATTTTCCCAAATTGGGTTCCCAGTAAATGACAAACGCCCTGTGAAGCTGGGTTCTAGGCTGCTCTACTGACATACACTGCTGAGGGGAGAAGCCAAGTCGTCCTTCCAGGTGGCCAAATCCGAGACCTAACTTGTCTGCTTGTCGCCGCCTCCCCTCAGGAAGGAGGGCGGGCCCAGGGCTCCTACTGAAGGATTGTTTGTAATAGAAATTGGTTATAATGTAAATGTCTATCAATAGAAGAATGGGCAAATAAGCCACATGTGTTGGGAAAAAGAACTTCAACATAGGGAACTAGCAGGGGGCTCACCATAAAGGTCTGTGGAGTGAAAAAAAAAACTGTGGGACACAGGGGTGGTCACGGTGGGTGCCACTTTCTCCTTGGCGACCCCCACTCCCCCCGAGTGTTCACACAGCGAGGACAGAGTGTGCGCGTTTGGCCTTAAGGATGTTGAGTTGGAAGGTGCAAGGTCAAGGGGTCTGGTTTCACTCGTGTCTTGAATTTTTTGCAAGAAATTGTGTTCACACATTACTAATCTTTAAAATTACGTTAAAGTCCAACAAAAAAGTTGTTTGGCTACTAAGAAAGGGATCTTGTTTTATTCGGAGTATAGAGGTGTTCTGTCTCCAGCTGACATAATGAGAGAGCTGGCAGAAAGGAGGTGGATGTGCAGGCAGGGTCCCAGGAGGGCTGGGGGCCAGGGCGTGTCTGCCCAACTCTGGCCCTGGCCCTTCACTGCTGCTCGCCCCTGACAGAGCTGCTGGGCGAGGTGAGGGCTGGGACATGGGAGTCCAGAGTGTGCTCGCTTCCTCAGCAGGAATTGGCGCTGCATCCCGCCACTCTCCGAGGGTGGGCTCTGCACAGAGGAAACCCTCCTTTTCGGCGTGCATTCTGCTGCCAGGGCATCCCCACCCCTGCCCTGCAACTTGCCAGTGCACGATGTGCAAGAGGGCAGGACCCCTTCTCTGCTGCATGCTCCAGCGGCAAAGCCAGCGAAGGCTCAGGGAGGACAGCCTGACCGTGTTCATGGGGATGGGACAGTTGAGTCTCTAGAGGGAGGGGAGGCTGGGACATGGGAACCACAAACTTGACTCAGTGTTCTGTTGGCAGGTTATTAATGGGTTGAAGCAGAGAATTCTCAAGCTGGAGCAGCAGTGCAAGGACAAAGACAGCACCATCAAGTACGGAGACGAGGCGGGCAGGCAGCCCTGCCGGCCTGCCCCCGGGCTCACTGTCACTGCCCACTTGCTCTGTCCTCTTTCTCGGCAGCAGTTAGTGTCTTCTGAGTCAGGAGCTTTAGTTCCCAGGGCCATCCTCTGTCGGTGTCCCTCCCGAGTGCCAGTTCATCTTTGTGCCAGATAGTGAAAGTGAGCGTTAGCTACCTCTGCCAAGTGTCACCAAGGAACAGGGTTTTTCTTTCATCACTATACTTAAGAAATGCTCTCTTCCCTTAGCTCTCTGTGGGTCACTTGTTGTGTTTATGTACTTACATTTCCGTTGGTGTCCCCAGCTGCTTCTCTCTCTCGCACCCTCACCTGATACTGCCACACATTTCTATCCTGTCTGCGTGCAGGGCCTGGTCTTTCCTAGCCAGCTATGTTTGGGTTTGTTCAAGGCTGTCTGAGGCCCCCACTTCCTGTGCCCCATGTCTCCTCTTTCTCCTATACTCCCCCCTTATTTGTCTTCCGTGTTTCAGAGCCCTGAACTCTAACTTTACTTTCATTTTTCTGCTACAGCCTTTAAAATTGTTAACTGCTGAAAACAAGCTGAATTCTACTGACAGTACCAGGGAAGGAGGCCTCTTTTTCAAGCTTCCCTTCCCGCCTCCCCCCAGCTGCATTCTGTCCTTTCTACCCCCTGAGGCCTCTCTTCACAGTAGTTCCAATTTCTCAGCACAGACACTTCTTTAGTAAAGAATCTCTTCAGTGTCGGTTTCCTCACCTCCCAAGGAGTGGCCAGTCCGTCATCGGAGGGTCATGCGGGTGTGAGGAATTCTCTTACCAATCTCAAAAACCAGTCTTGTGTGAGCCCAGCTGCCAGATGAGGGGCAACTGTGTTGGGCTCTTCCTTTCCCTGCCAGTTCTCTGAGAGTTCTGGAAAACTGTTCCTCCTCTTATTCTGTCCGGAAATGCTGGTGCTGCCATGCTAACTGTGCACTTGGGTTTTAGCAAACTGCAGACTGACATGAAGACCACTAACCTGGAAGAGATGAGGATTGCCATGGAGACCTACTATGAGGAGGTGAGTGCCCTCTGACAGGTGTGGGGTGAGGGGTGGAGAGCACAGCCAGGGTTCTGAGGCCTAGCGGGGTAATGGCCCGCTGTGGGGTGAGGGGTGGAGAGTGCAGCCGGAGTCTGAGGCCGAGCCGGGTGATGAGCAGGGTGACGGCCCACTGAAGCGCCAGGGCCCTGCTCTCATCTCCTCACCTGACTAGTCATCCCTTACTGTTCGCCCGCTGCTGCTGGGCAGGGATCAGGAATCTGAACAGTTTTTTCAGAGGCAGATCTTCATGCTCATTTTGCATTTTAACATTTAAATTTCATCTTTACAGATTCATCGTCTCCAGACTCTCTTGGCAAGTTCGGAAACGATGGGAAAGAAGTATGATCCTCTTTTGGGGGACCATGTTGAATGTGTTATCTTTATGTTAGATTGCCCCGAAGTAGGTGTCTGTCATTTCACAGACTCCCTGAGTGTTCTTTGGGGCAGTGCCACACCCCTCGCTGTTGCATTGTAGGTTAGGGTTGCCTGTCTTCATTTGGGATGCCTACCCTCTGCCTTCAATGCTGCCACTTGCTTACTGCCGAGGCAGCTCCATGCTCCCTGCATTAGTCATTCATACTTCCTCACAGCTGCCAGCTCAGAGCTAGGAAACCCTGTTTTTCTGAGTAGATCTTCCTCTTAAGAAAGACATTTAATACCAAGTACAAGTTCATTTTACCAGATGAGTTTACTAGGAGAGACAGCAAGGTTTCCTCACCTTGTAGATTTTCCAGATGATGCCTGTCTTTCAGAATCCTTTGGAAGGAGTGACTCCTGCTCATGGATGGGTCACGTCCCTGGCATCTGCAGAAAGCAAACATTTATGCTGTGCTATGCTTCGTCTTTTCTTTACTCCTCCCCCCCGCCCCCAGATGTTTAATATGGAGTTCGGAAACTTCTCCTGTAAAGAGCCAGAGAGTAAATAACAGTCGATTCTTGTGTCTGCTGTAGAATGTTCCACCAACACTGAACCATTGCTCCCAGGGAAAACCTGGGGCTCGGTTCCCGAGGGTCTCTAGCCACATGTTTTCATCAGCCCTCCAAAGTGAGCCTGTTTTCATGGGTGTTTCTGCTGAAAGCTGCCTTCTGTAGCAAAAGCTACTGACGCATTGGCCCTGAACCGCTGGGCCACAGCACTGACTCAGGCTGGCGCAGAGCTCACCCAACAGCTGCCCAGCATTAGGATACCCAGCAGCGCTTCAGCACTATGGGGGCGGGGGGGTTGGTTAGCTAGTGAAATCATGGAAGAAAAGCACAAAAACTCAAAGCTTCCACCTAATAGCTGTGAAAATGATGCTTGTTGACACTATGAGACTGAAGAGGAGGCGGGGGCCCTGGATCAACCTCTACAGGGCGCATGGTTCCCCTCCAACTTTCCAATACTCAGCCCCTATCCATGAGTGGTCCTGAAAGTACCACAGTGCTCTTGGGGCTACAGGTAATTGTTAAACAGTAAATCACGCACAAAATCTACACTCTGTGCATAATGAGGACTGGCTGTACTTTAAACTTCATGGGCTAAGAGGCAGAACCAAAACTACTAGAGATACTAATGCAGCAAGAGAAAACAAATTTCCACAATCTATTAGTGATACAATTTAAAATGTATTCCTAGTAATGGAATACTTTGTTACATAGGTTTACTAATGAGAGGATTGAATCCTGTTTGGGGGGGAGCAGCTTGCCTACCTGGGTTCAGCCTTAGTATTCCTGTTCCATTGCAAGTTTCATCTGCAGAAGCCCTGGCAGCACGCAGGCCAGGGCCATCATCCTGTGCCCCTCATTTAGACATTTATTAAATTGGTTTAGAAACCCACTTCTTACCACATGGTTGGTTTGTTCCTAGGCCTCCAATAGAGAAGAAAACGGGCCCCAAAAGGCAGAAGAAGGTGAGCAGTGCCTTGCTGAGCCTGTCCAGGAGTGTGCAGGAGCTCACAGAGGAGAACCAGAGCCTCAAGGAGGACCTGGACCGTGTGCTGAGTAACTCTCCCACTGGCTCCAAAATAAAGGGTAACCCCCAGAGACGCCCAGGAGCGAGGGCGCCACCCCGGGAGGGAACTTGTGCAGAGAGGCCGTGTCTTTCGTCCCCGGAGGGAAGACATGGGGTGACTGCCGTGGGAAAGCCAGGCTTCCCTCCTGTCCACGAAGATCCTCCTTCGTTTGCAGACGCACCCCACAGAGCAGCGCTACCTGGAAATTTAGTCCAAATCATGAGCAGCAGCTGTGTGTGCACCAGGCAGTGTTGCAGAAGGTGGCAGTATCACATGCAGGTGCCCTCTAGAGGTCCTTTAGAGGGAGAGAGGGGCCAGTAGGAGGAGGAAGAGGGAGATGGAGGAAGGAAAGTAGCAGAGGCCTAGGGGCCGTGTATCTGCAAGCAGAGGTGTCAAGGAATGCCCACCAGAGGGTGACAGCTCAAAGCTGAAAGAGGTGAGGACAGCCGTTGGTAGCCAGTGTGCCCAGCATGGGCAGCAGTGGGAGAGCCATAGTGACCAATACAGAAGCTGTGGGGGCCACACAGGGATCAGGGCCTTGCCAGCCAGTCCAGGGGCAGGATTTGAGCAGAGGGGAGCTGTGTTTTTCATGAAGCTCCTTGGCTTCTGTGCTAAGACTGTGTGTAGAAAAGGGGCCTGCAGTGCTGAAGGGCTGCTGCTAGCCTGGACGGGCTAGCACCCTGCCGTGTGAGATGAGGGGAGCCAGGTCGAGGCCCTTTTATCCGAGCAGCTGAAAAGCCAGCACAGGGGTAGACAGAAGAGGAGCAGGTGTGGGAGAGGGACTTGTCAGATGTGCTGGGTGTGACACATGTCCCCAAGCTCAGGCAGCGTTTCTGTGACCTGAGGAGCAAGGTGAGCCTCCCATCACCAGGCAGGTGAGCAGGGGAGGAAGGGACTGGGTTGGCCCAAGGAGATGGTGCTCAGAGGTAGGTCATGTGCAAGTCTGCAGAGCTGATGGGAGAGAAGCCGGCCGCCTGAGATGCCCTGAAGGCCAGGTGATGGAAGGGACACGTGCACTGTGGGCTTGGAGGGGCAGGGCAGGATGAGCTCTGGATTCCACAGCGTGCGATCCTGGTGGCCTTGGGAGGCTCATAACAAGTTGGGGCAGCCAAGTCTGACCAGAGTAGGATCGGGAAGGAATGTCAGTCACTCAGACTGGAGGGGCTCGCAGGGGGCGGGGATCTTCCCTGTGCAGGCATCCTGTCCCAGCTCTCCTGGCGGCCACACGCTGTGTGACCTCGGGGCACAATTGGACCATTCCTGAGATGGGGGGTGTCCAGGCTGAAGGGCCGGGGGTGGTTGTGGAAGCGTGTCTTACCATCCCGTTGCCTCCTTCAGGTTACATGGAGTGGAGCAAGCCCCGATTGCTCAGGCGGATCGCAGAGCTGGAAAAAGTGAGTGCACCTCCTGGTGTCCCCCCCTTCACACCTGCCCATGTGTAAGGCAATGGGGCTCCCAGAGTGGGGCGCACAGGCACTTCGCTGAGTGAGAAGGAGGTTGGGCTGAGCGCGTACCCAGGCAGCACACGGGTGCAGGGAACCTGCTCCAGACGACCCTTTACAGCATGTCACCACCACCGTTTGCTTCTCTGCTTGTATACTGTTGGAATTCATAGAAGACTTTTCATTCATACTTTGCCAACCAGAACACTGGGAAACTGGCACAGCTTCTGTGTAAATTTGCAAACTAATAATCAGTCTGATTCTGTTGCCATTGATCAGCAGTGTCAATACCTTCAGCGTAACCTGCTGGAATGTTAAATGAGAGCCGTGGGGCGGAGCAGAGTAAAGCTAGAGTGGAACGTTTGAAGAAAATCATTTCACATACTTACAAAGACTGTGGGCATTTTAAAATAAAACTTCTATGGGAAGAAAGGCATCCGAGGTGGCTCAGGATTCACATGGTAGAGTTATCTAGGCCGAGAGGCAGTGCTGCTGGCAGTGGCATCTGCAGGTGCTCGGGATCGTTTTGTTGGCAGACTGAAGTAGCATTTCAGATTGAAAGCAGAGGACCTCGCGTCAGACTCCAGATCAGATTGAAAGCAGAAGTGGGAATGTTCAGAACCTCTAGGGAAATACTAGGGTAAAGGAACAAATAAATGGTTATGAATTCACCTTCCCTCTGACCGTGGTTCTCTCTTCCGGGTTGCTGGCTCCCCGCACCCACCCCCATCACCACCCAGGTCTGAGTCTCTGCTCTGACGGGGAGGGAGGAGTGCTAGGGGCCCCCTGCCCTTGGCCTCCGGATTCTGGAGGGTCTCATCAGGGTCTCATCGTCAGCCAGGGCACAGCAGAGCTCTTGCCTTGCTGGAGGGGAGTTTCCCTTTGGTCACTGTCTCTCTTCTGGGTTTCACCAATGGAAAGTAAAAACAAGAAATAGCATCTAACCCATGTCTCTGTTGCCTCCAGAAAATCAGTTCGATGGAAAGCCCCAAGTTACACTCAGAAGGGGTTAAGTCCAGCGTACTGGCTCACTCTGCCTCATGCTCTACTGTGCCTAAGCAGCTGCACCCCGACCGCCAGGAGGACACCGAGCGCCTGCGGGGGGCAGTGAAGAGCCTGCGAGGGGAGCGGAGCGCCCTGCAGACCCAGCTGCTGGAGAAAGAGTACGTGTCCCAGCGGTCCTGTGCGCTGGGGGCAGATAGCAGCTCCCAGCAGTTACTGCGTCATTCTGTGTGATCCCCAGACGTTTCTTTGGGGAAATAAAGGCAACTTTAGTGTTCAAAAGTAGTCATTAGTCAGCTAGATTATGTCACTAAGGGGAAACATGCCATTTTTCTCTTTACTCTGAAATGCAAAGAGATATCCAAATTTATTTTTAGCAAAGCATTTGCTTTTGTTGATTTGCATAAAATAGCTAGATCATCAGACCTTGTGTGGAGTAATTAAAATATTCAGTAGTATTTCATGATGGCTGATCTTTGTATCAATTAGGCCATAGATACAGTGAATTTTCTAGTGTGACCCTTTGAGTTTGTAAGGCCAAGCCTCAAAGTTCTGCTTGTTCATTGTTCATTCTGTGCCGTTTTAATCTGTGACCCAGTCAAATGTGGCCTGTCTCCTGTTTGTTGTCGCTTCTAGTTACAGTTCTGTCATGAGGAAGCACAACCCATATGTCTTCTGGGATGGTGTTATGTGTTAGACCTTGCTACTTGGAGTATGTCCTGAAGCCAGCAGCCCCTGCCCCCCAGGAGGCCAGAGGCGCAGCCCCTGGCTAGCCCCAGACTCCTAAATACAACTCTGCCCTGACGAGACCCTTATGCGCACATTTTGGTCTGAGAAGGACTCACTGGCCTACTAAATTCTCTGCTGCCTGCTGTTTATAGCAGAAGGCAAATGCCTTCACCCCAGCCCCCCCACCCTGACCTCCATGCAGTCTAATGCATCCATTTGAATTAATAGGTTCTTTCTAAAAATTGATATTTCATAAAAATTTAAAAATTACACTGGGCACACTGAAAGTAAGTATGTCTGTGATTGTCCTGGTTCTCTGTGTTCAGTTTAGAGGTAAAGCAGCTACTACAGACAAAGGCTGATCTGCAGAAGGAGCTGGAAAGTATGAAGGAAGGTGAGAAGGAAAGGAGAGAGCGAGAGGAGGCTTTGAGGTAAGTGAACCAGCGCTCAAGGTTTTCCCAGCAAACACACACAGTTCCAAGCTGTTCACTTCCCCCTGTCCCCCCCAGCCTGTACTTAGCACAGCTTCAAGAGTAGCTGTCCTGAAACTTCAGTCTGATAGTGGGGACGCTCTCATGGGGTGTGGCGGGGTGCCGCTTTGCGCCCAGAGCTGGCCTTGCAGCCCTGTGGCAGCCCTCTCGCCTGTCCTAAGTCCTCATCCGGTGTGCTGACCAGTACGGGTCATCTCTTCCCGCCCACTGTAGAGAGGAAATTCGAACACTGACCAAGAAATTTCAAGAACTGGAAGAAACCAAGAAAGAGGAGAAAGAGGGCCCGATGGAAAGGCCCCCCGAGGTACGGTCTAGCTGCTTCCCGGCTCGGCGGGCTCGCGGGGCTTCCTGCTGACGCGCGGTTCTGACTGCTTCCAGTCCCGGCAAAACCTCGGTGATCCGATTTCCTTTCTTCATCGCCATCGATTTCTGTCAGGTCTGGAGTTCTGGACTACAGTAATTCATTGGCAGTGAAGAGGCTTCTTAAACTACTATTCCAATTTTGGAGATTTAAACTGGTAAACAGAAGTCTTCCCAAAATTTCAAATATGCAGACAGTTGAATTATCCCACATGGGATGGTCTGTTAGAAGGTGGAAAGGAGTTTGAAAAGGCCCCAGAGGGAACCAGTCTATTGGTTTGCAGACACAGAAAAGGTCCGTTTCTTGGTGTTCCCCTCACCCCCATCAGTAAGTAGCACACAACTCCGGAAGGAAAACTGGCCCCCTACCCCCACCACGTGTGGACACCGGCCATCAGGAGAGGACCCTACACAACACCAGTTACCCTCCTTTACCTTGAGTACCTTCATCACAGAGCAAACCGCTTTCTGTTTACTTCGGAAATCAGATTGAAATCCTCACTGCCTCAGCACAGGCAGAGTAGCTCTGGCAATGAGGGTTCCTGATAAGGGTTCTCCTCGACAATTACATCCTTTTCAACCTCTCCCCTGACAGCCCTTAGATTTGCTTGGTATTTAAAATGACACTCTGTGCCTATCAATATTTTGGGACCTTATCATACCATACGACTTTGAGATTTAGTGGCCCCATAAATGAGAGGAACAAATCAAGTGTCCCAGGTTTCCTGCTGTTCAGGGTGAGCTGGGGAAGGGAGCCTGACCTCTGTGCGAGGCCCTCAGTGCAGGGACTGCAGCCTCATTTCCAAAGTGGAGACATACAGTGGAGACCCCAGAGCCAGGTGGGAGGCCGATTAGTGAGACATTACCAGGCGTTGTGAGTGTAAGACAGAGCTGCAGTCACTGATGTGGAAAGGGGCCTGCGACCTCGCACCGACAGACACACATCCCTCCACCACCGCAGCAGTGCAAGCAGTGACCCTCTAAAACACTCATAAGAAGAAAAATGTCTGGGAAGGTGACCAAGGCATGGTGGTGGTTTTAGTATTGTCCAGATGTTTCTATAAGTAGGCATCAGCTTTGGGTTTGGTTTTTTTATTTTTTCCCCTTGAAAAGCATTTTCATTTTGAAGAAAGAGAATGCTAGAATTAATTAGGAAGATATGTGTGCTTCTAAATAAAGGAATAGGGGACCTCCCTGGTGGTACAGGGTTAAGTCTTAACTATGAAGCTATCTCCCAGTGCAGCGCTAGTTCAATCCCCAGCCAGGGAGGTGACCACATGGCATAGAGACCTCTCCTGACCCATCTGCTGCTCCCCGCAGCAGTGTATCTAAGTCAGTCCTGTTCTGCTCCCCACTCTGTCTCTGGTGAATCCTCTCACCACCCCCACCACCCCCCGACACACACATAAATAAATAGATCTTTAAAAAATAAATAAATAGGCCCTCCCTGGTGGCGCAGCGGGTTAAAGCACTGCACTGAGAATCTGAAGCCGCTTCCGCATGAGTTC